CTGGGCTCTGCCCTCACTATCTTTGTGACTTTGGAAAAGTTATTGAATCTTTCAAAGTTTTGACTTCCTTATTTGTAAAGATAGTTAATAGTAACTCCTTTTTCATAGGTTGCTGTGAAGATTAAATGTTAAATGTTTAACACATAGTAAGCATTGCATAAACACTGGCTTTGATGATGTTGATGACAATAAGAATGTATTTGAGTCGTTGCTTTTCAAAAAGTCATTTATTAATTCATAAAGCATGACTGCAGATGTTGATAACAGTGGTGTCTGTGAACAACTGGGTGTTTCAGTGAGTCTAAATTTCCTAAAGTCAGGCACAAAATATGTGAATAATGTATTTTTTTTTGTTTGGGAAGAATATAAGAGAATACATTATTTCTTAAAAAATTTACAGTATTGAAGATTTTATATTAGGAATACATAGGTAACTATGAGACTGTCCTCATTCTCAGTTTACAACATGGTGAAATTAAAGACTTCCAAATAAGATGTTGCAGAAAGAACTGGCAGGGGTATAATCAGCAGAGGCCACATTGCAGGATAATTGGTAAAACAGCTTCCTGGAAGAGCAAGTGGATGGTAAAGTTGAATCTGAAAATTCTAGGCAAAGGGAATAACATGTAGAAATCTAGGCATAGTCAAGCATGATATCTTTAAAGTATGGAATCTGAGGTGATAGTGCACAGTGGCAGAGGGTGTAAATTGCCCAACTTGAGACCAGCTTGAATTTGTGAAGGGTTTCTCAGGTCACACCTAGCGTTCAGACTTGGTCTTGTGGTTCATGGGAAGACATTGAAAAGTTATAAACACATGGTCAGAGCTGTGAGTTTGTGTTTCTCTCTCTCTCTGCTTGTTTGTTAAATTTCTCTGGCTTCTGGAGGAAAGGGAGACCCTGGAAGTAGGAGATAAAGGAAAAACCGAGATAGTTCTCATCCCAGTGAGAGATAGACACCTGAAATAAAGAAGTGACAGTGGAGATTAAGGAATGAGAGGACATTAAAAGTTAGAAGCTAAACCAGAGAAACTTGATGACCCATTAGAAGGTGTGGTCATGGGTTATTTACAGCAATATGGCTAATTTTCTTATGGGCCTAGGACCTGGTTAGACACCATTGGAGAGCTTGAGAGACAAGAAAGTCAAATTGTTCCTGGCCCTAGAAATTGATAATGTTTTAAGGGAGATCAGAGTTCATATGAAAGAGTGGAATAAAAACCACACAAATTATAAGCATGGGAAGTAAGTGCTGGAAAGATCTAGGGAGGTGATCCTTGTAGGCTGATGTGGGTATGTAGCTCTCCATGACATTAGTGGACAGTTCTCATTCTTCTAGACCTCTTATTCACAATTTACATTGTTCAACACTCCCTTTGTCTTTAGACACTTTTCTTACCTTTTATGGCTCTCATGTTCCTGGGCTTCTGTCTCTCTGTTTTTCTTTCTCAGTAAGCTCAACAAATTCCTCTCCTCTCCCATTGAGTTCCATACAGTCATTGTGCTAGGTTTCCATGGTCTATACCATCTCTGGCTTTTTGCATTTCTGATCCTTTTGCCTGGAATGCTTTTTTTCTTATATCCTGGTCTAGTCTTGCTCTTCTTTCAGGTCTTAGCTTAATAGACCTTCCTAAAGAACAGAGTGACCATATAATTTTTTGTCTCAACTGAGTACATTTAAGAGAACATGCATAAATTGAAACTGACTTCTATTTCAGAATAGCCTTCTCTGATTCCCCAAACATGACTGTATTCCCCTATGCTTTTATTATTTTCTGTGATTCCTTTCATAGCCCTGACTGTGATTTCCAGCAAACATTTAAGTGACTATTTGATTTAACTCTCTCTCCCCAAAGGACTATATGCTCAATGAAGGCAAACATGTCCCCATTGTGTCGTCAGTACCTGAGACACCTTGTGCCACAAAATAGTTTCTTAACACTTTGAAAATAATAGTAAGGAGTTGTGCTCTCAACCCAAAGGCATCTTGTTCAAATCCACCAGCTGCCCTGCAGGAGATGGACAGTCTCTTCCTATGTGATTAACTGACGTAACAATGCTTCGACTCAGATTTGTATTGTGCTGTGGGAGGTGTAGTGCATTTTAATGTCTATAATAATATTTCGTTTCTATTACCACTTGGCCAGAAGTTCTCATCTCAGCCCAACTGAAGTTTCAGTTACTTACCTAAGATCTCATAATTAGTTACAGACAGGTCTAGAACTCTCAGGTCTTCTGACCCCAGATCCAATGCTTATTGTTAACTAGTTTGAAGGAGAGCAAAGGGAAAATGGCTCCCAGAGTTAGAATGCAAGGAATTTGGAGGATGGTGCTGACTTTGAGAAGAAATGGGAAATGAAGTATCTGAGAACCATTTGTCAAATTTCACTTGTGCTGTGAAAATCAGAAAAGCCTTCCTTCCAGGCTGCTGAGAGCTCAGAGTTGAGCAACAGATGGGCCCCTGGCCTCAAGGGGTTTAAGCATATGGTTTTTACAAAGAGGTAGAGTTATGAAGTCCTGGGACCAATTTAAAAATGTGTTTAATTTTAATTGGATGGATAAGTGGAAAAAAATTGGTGGTTCTTGAAACTAGGCTAAAGAAACTTCTGAATGGAGCATTGAACTGGCGGCATTCAGGAGGGTGACAAGATCATAGGGTTGTTTGAGAGAAACACTGACGTTGAGCATGCTTTGTTCCTACACAGTGGCAGCGAAGTTGTCTGGATCTTACTATACTTTTCTTGGATATCTTGCTTTTTACGGAACCCACTTCTGCTTATTCCTCCTCCTTTACATTATTAGCATGAAGGGAGTCCCCGTGGTTCGGTGGATTGAGCATTGGGCAGCTAACTCAAAGGTCAACAGTTCAATCAAAAGACTAATTGAAAGGCCAGCTTCTGTGTGGGAGAAAGCATGCTTCTGTAAAGATTTACAGCCGTGGAGACCCTATGGGGCTGCTCTGGTCTATCCTAGAGGGTTGCTATGAGTAGAATCAATGCCATGGATGTGAGTTTATATTAACATTTAACAGCTGGAAGAAAATAACATATGTTGCAGCTCTTTGTATTTATGACTACAGAATTAATAACTTAGAGCCTATTGGCTGCAAAGAAAATGAGTGAAGTGCTATAAATTATAAATAGAAGTTGTTAATGTTAATAGAGTGTGTAACATATGCCTCATTTTGGCATAGCTTTGAAATAATGTAAATGATTTAAAGGGCTTGCGTCTGTGTGCCTTCATTTTAATTTGGAATACTTGGAATGCATTGATTCACTATGATTTCATCAATAATTCTATGTTCTCCCATTGGAAGCCAGCACCCTCCACACAGAGTAGATAAAAATTCTGGTTACCTGACTTCCCGTCTCAGAACAGGCAAATAGAATTCATTTTATTTAATGTGTTGGGATTTTTCCTTATTTGGACTTTTAACAAGCAGATTCTAAATATGAGTTAGTCTGTGTTCTTCTCCCATCTCTTTACCAATGTCATCTGATTTATAGATTTTTTAAAAAATGAGTGCTATAAATACAGAACTTTTAGATCGCTTTGAAAGGCAGCAAGATAATAGTGGGAAGAGCTCAAACCTCAAACCCACTGCTGTCAAGCTGATCCTGACACATCGTGACCCTGTAGAACAGAGTACGGCTGTCCCACGGGGCTTCCAAACTGTAAATCTTTACGGGAGCAGACTGCCACAGCCTTCTCTCATGAACTGCTGGTGGTTTTGAATTTCCAACCTTTTGATTAGCAGCCTGGTTGGCTCTTTTGTCTCAGTGAGGGATTTTTCTGGTTAGAGTTCATTTAGTTTGTGCAAAAGAGGCGATGTAGTCTCAGGATTAGGATCCCGGTGGTACAACAGTTAAGCACTAGACTGTTAGCAGAAAGATGAGTGCTTGAAACCCACCAGATTCTCTGCTTGAGAGAATACTTGGCTATCTTCTCCTATAAGGGTTCTTTCATTGCCATCCAGTTGGAACCACCTCATAGCTAACCCTCCGTTGAATTTCCAAGGCTGTAAATTGCAAGTAAGTAGATGAGAAGCTGCTGATGGATTTGAACCTCCAGAGAGGGACAGCCTCTGGGTCAGCAGTGCAGCTCCCTGTGGAGGATCTCCCAGGGTTCCCTCCTATAACATTTATGACCCAGGAAACGCTGTGAGGCAGCTCTACAAACACCACCATGACCAATATTCGAAAGATACTCGGCTGCCTTGCTAAATCCAAGGACAGGAGAGCACCCTTGCTCAGGAAGATGTGGGAGTAGGGCCTAGAAGCCTTCAGAAACCAAGGAGACTCAGTCCACGGTTTCAGGGCTAGATGATCTCTTAGCTTGGCTTTTCTCTCTGCATCTGCTCCTTTCCTCTCTCTCAGCAGACTGCCTGCTTTTGCTTCTCTGTTCACACAGCCAAGTTCTGCTCCCAGCTTTGACTGTGCATCGTTTCCAGTTCTAGGACCACGAAGGCCCCCTGACATCTCCGAGTTCCGAATTCCTGAGAGAGAGCCTGATTATATCATTCTGAGATAGACACCACTCTTGGTTTCATCCAGCCTTCATTTTGTGCCACAGGCTGGGTTGATGCTTGCTATTTTCAGAGAAGAGGAAGTTTGGGTTTGGAAAACAGACTCAGAGTTAAATCTTGATCCTTTTCCTTTCTTGGGCAAGTTAACTCTCTCAGACTGAATTTTCTGATCTGCAAAATGGGAATAATGTTTTATGAGCATGAAAGTGAAATGACATGTGTAAAAACAAGGGCCACCTGCAGTCAGAACTGCCACTCAGAGTGATTGTGACTCCGAACAGTTGACTTGGCTTCTCTGGGTCTGGATCTTTATCTACAACATGGGGTAAACATTACCTACCTGAGGTGCCCAATCTGGGGATTACATCATGTGATGTGTGTTACTGCACAGTGCCAGGACTTTTTACATAATAGATACTCAGTGTGGTAATTGCTCTTCTTCCTATTGTTAATCACATTTTTTCCTCTTTCTTCTAGTTTCCATTTGGCCGACGTTTGCCTTGTGATATCTATTGGCATGGAGTTTCATTTCATGACAGTGACATATTATCTGGTCAAGTGAACAAGTTTCCAGGTATCTGCTGTTCTTGTTGGCGTTTAAAAACATTCATATTCCTCTAGCTCAGTCTCAGGGCGCACTCTCGTGCAGAAACATGATAGTGTTTTGAGATCAGACTTGAAGGCTCTTAATTGGGAATTGCTGCTTGTGATCTGTTGTTGGCCTGCTACCTTGGGAGGGGTGTTAACTCCGAGATAATCAGGATGTAAACCACTAGGGTTTAATGATAGGAGGCTCAAAACCAAAAAGACAGGCTTTCCTGATCTAATCTTATTGGCATAAGAACGTATTTTTTACTTTATAGGTTATAAGCATAACCTGGCTATAATCTTAAAATGAAAAAGTTACAATATTATACTTAAATAATTTGCAGAAAACAGAAATACTGAAATTCTAGCAATATATTAAGAAATGAGAGATGAACTTTTTAAGTGGACTAGTATTTGAGGATACTAGTCTCTATACTAAGTACAAGAAGCTGCAGGCAGCCTGTGTTTGTTTTTTTTTTTAATTATTTTACTTTTTTGTGTGTACCATCAAATCAAATCTGACTGGTACAGGAGGAGATTGCCCCTCCTTCTTCAGCAGAGCATCTAGTGGATTCAAACCACGTACCTCTGAGATTGTGGTGCAGCTTCTTGCCACTAGGCCACCAGAGCTCCCTTTAGCCTGTGGTTTTTACCTGAGTTTTACCCTATATGGAGGACTCTTTGTGCCAGGAAAGTATCAAACTCAACACTTTAAGGTCTCCCCTTACTCCACTCCCATGATCCACAAGTACCTTTTTATTTATTTATTTTTTTATTGGGAAAAACACATTGGGGGTACAAGGAAGTGAAGGTTGGGGGCAGAAGGGCAGATGGGCAGGGATGCAGTTGCAGAGCTGCACAGTTTGGTTGGCGGGGGGAGCAGGTTAAGGAAATTATGAGGATCCAGTGGGGACCAGATGCTATAGGGGAATGGCAAGCATTTTCCAATGGTAATTAAACCAACTGTCTTATTGATTTGGGAATTGGATGCCGACTCTCTGGCTTCTTCATGCTGAACAGGGGCGTAGATGTAAAGGGGGGAAGGGAGGACACTTTATCACCTTACTGGTGATCTTGGGTTAAAGCTGCTTGCCTTCTTGCTCTGTTAGAAGATATTTTCCTGTCATTTGCTCCCCTCTGGGCTGCAAAGTGTTTTCCCAGGTGGGTCCAGTGGGGATGGCTGGTTGAACCCAGAGGCTCCATCCTCCTTTGCTTCCTTAGCTGTCAGTTGTATTTCCTTTTTGTCACTGGCACTGGGTTCAGAGTCAATTCTGGAGTAAAACTCAGAGTTAAGGTTACCTATAGGAAAGGGAGCAAACCTAGAGAGAACAAACTTGTGAGTTACAAATAGAAGGGTTTTGAGGGTGTTGCTTTCAGGTTTACTGGGGGAGAAGGTGGCAGAAGGTGGCCTAGGTAACATTCTCTGGATACCCTAGACATTCTTTTTTTTTCCCCTTCCCCACCCAGGGGTCAGATGGCACAATCTGAGGGCTGAGGAGCTCACCCTGAGGGCCGCGAACACCTTATTATTTTTAAAATCTCTGCCATCTTCTGCTGTGATTACTGTTCTCTTGATTTTGGTGGCTAAGTGGATAAGGATAGTGGGAGTGCCAAGGCAGAAGAGAACATTAGTCTGAGCTGAGTATGATCACACTCAAAGGATCTCCCACTTAGGCTTTAAGTTTTAATGAATTGTACAAAGCATATAATAATCATGATCTATTCTTCATTTGACAAAGTGAGTATTTTACATTTCCTCCCAAATGTTAACCATATTTACTCATCATTTTTACATGGTTTCAATTTTGCAATCAGGGTGTAGCCACCTGAACATTGGTTGATTTCTTTTATCATTTATGTTTATTTTAAAGGAAGAATCACCTTACCTTTTCCCTTCACCATTCTCTTAAGTCTTTCATAAAAGACACATCAGAAAACATACTGTCTATATTTTATATATATTGACAGGTGATGCCATAGGAGCCCTGGTGGTATAATGTTTAAACACTTGGCTGCTGACCAAAAGGCAGATAGAGGTTTAGTGAGAGAAAAGATTTAGTGATCAACTCCTGCAGAAATTACAGTTTAGGAATCCCTATAGGACAGCTCTAATCTGTCACTTAGAGTTGCTATAAGTTAAAGTTGACTCCAAGGAACACAACAGCAACAGGGATGAGCATTCAGAGTCAACCACCTTAGCCAGACTTGGCTCAGATTTACTGGAAGGCTACAGGGCAGGAAATAGCTCGCCAGCTGATCAATGTCTGAAATTTCTCTTTAGCGAGAAACTTTGCAGTAGTCCCAGGGTCTGATCTCTAGATCCCTTTGGAAAAACAACAACACAAAACCAATGTTGGTGGTACTGTGGTTTGGGGAAAGGAGTTCAAGTGCAAGAGGACAAGACCTACACTGGTGGATGTCGGTCTGCCTTGCATCTCCACAGAGTCATGTTAAGTTACAGAATCACTGCACTCAGGAGAGCCTAGAGCCATGACTTCCTGCCAGGTATTTATATAATTTACCAATCAGGGATCATTTTAACCACATGCTTAACTAGCGTAGTGTCTAGCAACACAGATGACTTTTAAACTTTATTGATTTCCCAAGGAACAGAGCTAGAAAACTAACCCAAGGTTAGATTTGTCCTTAAAGTTTTGTTGAAGAGCACTAATGATACGAGAAGCCAGAGGTCTTATACCTAATAGGACAGGATACTTACTCTGAGCAGCTCTGTCTTGCTCAGAAAATGGAACTCTTTGATGCTACTAAAAGGACTTACTGGGAAAACACAATTTGAAAGAGAGTAACCCTGTTAATGAATGAGGACAGAGTTCCTTAGGCATGAATCAGCAGACGAGGTTTCATCTACATTTCCCACATTTGCACCTGCCTCATCTAATATCCGAGAACGGGCAGGGGGAGGGGAGGAAGCAGTAGCTATGACTCTCCATTTGGAACACAAATTAGAAATATAGAAAAAATTATCACCAAAGGACAAGTTTCATTAAAGGTGTTACAGGAATATTCATTCCAGAAAAGCAAGTTTGCCCTCCCCACCCCTAGATCTCGTCTTGCTTGTGCCAGTCATCGAAACATATTTTTCCACTTTCCTGGCAGCAATTAATTTGTTCTAATGATAAATCAAGCTTGAGATGGAGGAGCAGTGCTGCGACACCCACTCCTCTGTGAAAGACAGCAGTCTTCAGCGATGATTAATTAAAGACCAGTCTGTCCTTTGGCTCCAGTTTGTGTTGAGGCTTATCTTCTGTCTCGGAGATATTCCAATTTTCTAAAAATGCATTTCATATGCATTGTATATTACTCAGAGTGAGTGCTAGTGCGTGTGCCAGAAAATATAAACACTCCATGCTGCATAAACTGAGAACTCTTGGATGTGCATATGGAAGTAATTTATTTTGTTGTGTCAGCACATTAGATGTTAGTCACTTCTCTATGGGCAATTCTGGAGAAGAGATGGAGGTTGTTAACAATTTCAGCTTGCTGTGGTCCACAGTCAACACTCTTGGCACTGGCTGTCAGGAAATCAAAAGACAAATTTCTTGGGGAATGTCTACTGTCAGCAAACTTTGCAGAGTGCTAAGGAGCATGGATGTTAATCTAGAGACTAAGATGCACCTAATCCAAGCCCTGTTACTGTTTTTAGGTGCTGTTAGTCAAGTATGACCTATAGTGATCCTATGAACAATAAATCTGAACCCTGTTCTATCCTGTGCCATCCTAACACTTCCCGACACATTAGAACCTATTGTGACAGTCACCATGTCAGTCTGCTTCTCCTTTACCTTTCTGAGTATCATGTCCTTTTCCAAGGAATTAGGCCTTCTAGCACCATGTACAGAGTACGTGAGGTGAAGCCTCATCATCTCTGCCTCCAAAGAGCACTCTGGCTGCATCCTCTCTAAGGCATATTTGTTCTTTTTCGCAGTCCATGCGATGTTGGATGGTCTTCTCCCACTCCACAGCTCAAAGGCCTCAATTCTTCTGTCATCCTTATTCATTGTCCAGCTCTCAGATGCATAGCAAGTGTTCAGAAAGACCATGGCTTGAATCACATATACCTTAGTCCTCAAACTGATATAATTACTCCTCAATAATTTGGAGAAGTCCTTAACTGGAGACTTTCCTAGTGCAATACGCCTCCTGATTTCCTGACTGCTGGTACCAATGATGTTGATTATGGATCCAAATAAGATGAAGTTGTAGGCAGTTTTCTTTTCTCCATCTATCATGATGTTGCCTCTTGGTCTGGTGGTAAGAATCTTTGTTTTCTTAACTTTGAGATGAAATCCATGTTGAGGGCTGTATTCTTTGATCTTCTTCAACAAGTGCTTCAACTTGTCCTCACTTTCAGCAAGCACCGTTATATCTATGCATTACACAGGTTATTGATGTATCTCCCTCTGATCCTGATGCCACATTCCTCTTCAAAGAGTCCAGCTCCTCGAATAATTTACTCTGCATACAGATTAAACAGGTTTGGAGAGAGAATACAACTTCCTCATTAATATTAAACTATGTAGCTTTCCCTTGCTCTGTTCACACAACAACTACCTGATCTAAGTATAGGTTTCACATTTAAGTGCTCTGGGATTCCTATTCTTCTCAATGTTAGCCATAACTTGTAATGATCCACATAGTTAAATGCCTTTGCATTGTCAATAAAGCATAGATACACATTCTTCTGTTATTCTTTAGTTTAAACCAGATTCCATCTGGCATCAGCAACGATACTAATTTTGGTTTTTCCTTTCTCCTCTGTCTTTGTAGTGACCTTTTGCTTTCTTTATGGATGATATCATTGATAGCATCCCATAACTTAACTGGTCTTCTATCTTTGGTGTTCTATGTTTCAAACCTATTCTTTTTATTTTTTTAAATAAAATTTTTATTTTACCCTGGTTTACTTACAAAGTTCATATACATTGTTTTTCACACTGGATCTTTCTTATCTTCTTTACCCACCTCTGCTTCTACCCATCAAACTGTCTCACACTGTGATTACCTCCCTGCCCATCCTTACCCCTCTGCTCCTAATCTCCCCCTCTTGAATCCTCACACAGGTTTGACTAGTTATATTTCTATTTCTACAATAATGGTCTTATACAGTATTTGTCATTATGGGACTGAATTAGTTCACTTAGCATAATACTCTCCAGTCCCTCCCAAGCTAGGTAATGATTTTCAAAATCATTGCTCCCGCATGCTGCATAGTATCCCATCATGTTAATGTACCATAATTTCTCAATCCATTCAATTGTGGTTGAACATTTGGGCTGTTTCCATGTTCTTATAATAGCAAATAACACTGCTATGAACATTGGTGAACAAATCTCCATTTGTGCCTAGTTCTAATGTTCTCGGGGTATATTCCAAGCAATGGAATAGTTGGGTCATATGCAATTTCTGTGTTCAGCTTTTTGAGGAAACACCACACTGCCTTCCAGAATGATTGTGCTATTTTACAATCCCATCAACAGTGTATAAGAGTTTCTATCTCTCCACAATGTCTCCAACATTTCTAACTTGCTGTCTTTCCTGTTAAACTTTGCCACTGCTAGTGAGGTGGGAGTGCTGAGAAACCAAAGCAAAGGGAAGAAATCAAGAAGTTCAGGAGTGGAATAGAAGATTTCTAAGGAACAGCTTGGGAGGATAAGACAAAGTATTATGAAATTTGAGCTGGAGAGTTGGAGAATAAAAAGTACCAGACTTGCTTGGAATTTCTTAAGCTAAAGGAACTAAAGAACAAATTAAAGCCATGAGTGGTAATTTAAAAAAAAAAACAAACCCAAAATTAAAAGAATATGGAAGGAGTATACAGAATCACTGTACCAAAAAAAAAAAAACCTGACTGAAGAATTTCAAGAAATAACATATGATCAAGCGACAGTGGTGATGAGGGAGGATGTTCAGGCTGTTCTGAAGGACTTGGCAAAAAAGAAAGCCCCCACCACCAAAAAAAAATCCTAGGAATTGATGGAATACCAACTGACATATTTCAACAAACAGTTGCTGTCCTGGATGTGCTCACCAGGTTGTGTCAAGAAATCTGGAGGAAAAAAAAATAAATTAAAAAAAAAATCTGGAGGACAACTACCTGGCAAACTGACTGGAAGAGATCCATATTTATTTCCATTTCAAAAACAGGTGACCCATGAGAGTGTGGAAATTATTGAACATTATCACATACTAGTAAAATCCTGCTGAAGATTATCCAGAAATGTCTGGAACAGTAAATTGACAGAGAATTACCAGAAAAACAAGCTGGGTTTAGAAGAGGTTATAGCACTAGAGATATTATTTCCAATGTCAGAGTACTAGAGGAATGTCTATCTGTGTTTTGTTTACTATGCAAAGGCATTTAACTGTGTGGATCACAACAGATTGTGGCTAACCTTGAGGAAAATGGGAATCCCAGAACACTTGATTGTGCTTTTGCAAGATCTATACTTGGACCAGGAGATGGTTCTCAGAACAGAGCAAGAAAACACTGCATGGTTCAAAATCAGGAAAGGAGGGCACCAAGAAGACATCCTGTCTCCATACCTTTTCTTTTTTTTTTTGTTTTTTCTTTTTCTTTTTGGTATGGGCACAGATAGGGCCCAGGAAAAACAAAGGCTCATAGAAGAGCTCTCCAAACTATCCTGGTGAAACAGAAAACAGAAACACTGATGCGTATCCAGGCCTAAGAGAGTTGGAGTCTATCCAGCCTGCTGGTGAAAGTCTTTGACAGAAATGTTCTTATTTTCTGCTTCCCTCATTAGCCTTATAGGGTATTGTGTGTGTGTGTGTGTGTGTGTGTGTGTGTGTGTGTGACATTTTATTATTATTATTATTGTTATTAATTTCAATGAACATCTACAGAGATTCTGGAATTCCATTCATTCATTGTTGCACTTTTCTCCCCACCCCCCATTCGCTCCTCTCCTTAGAAAGCAAAAGAAAAACTCCTTCATTGGTACACAATTACCCGCCCCCCTGCACCTCCCCACTCCCACCCCAAGTATACTCCACTCTGCAATCCTCACCTTTTCAATCTATATGAAGAACAAATCATTCGGGAAGCTGGACAGAATGTGGCATCAGGATTAGAGGATGACTCATCAACAATCTGTGTTATTCAGATAACACAACCTTGCTTGCAGAAAGTGAGGAGGACCTGAAGCACTTGCTGCACAAGGTCAAAGACTGTAGTTTTCAATATGGATTGAAGCTCATCATAAAAAAAAGATAAAGATTCTCACCACTGGGGCAATTGGCAGTGCCATGATAGATGGAGAAGAGACTGAGGTTGTTAACAATTACAGCTTGCTTAGCTCCACAATCAACACTCTTGGCACTAGCAGTCAGGAAATCAAAAGACAAATTGCATTGGGCAAAATTTGCTATCAGGGACCTCACCAGAATACTGAAAAGCAACGATGTCAGTATGGAGACTAAGGTGTGCCTAATTCAGACCACTTCTTCACAATCACTTGCTATGCATCAGAGAGCTGGACAATGACTAAGGATCACAGAAGAATTGATGCCTTCAAGTTGTGGTGCTGGAGAAAAGTGTTGAACATACCGTGGACCGCCAAGAAAACAAATAAGTCAGTCTTGGAAAGGGTGAAACCAAGTTTCTCCAGGAGGCTAAGATTTTGAAACTCTATCTCACATACTTTGGGCATGTGGCCAAGAGGGACTGATTTTTGGAGAAGAACACCATGCTTGGAAGGGTGGAGGGACAGCGCAGGTGAGGAATACGTTGGATGAAATGGATTGACAACAGTAACTGAGGCAATGGGGGTTGGTGTATTGAAATCAGTGAGATTGGTTCAGGACAAGGCAGCCTTCAGAGCTTCTATACTTAGGGACGCTATGGGTTGCAGGTGACTCGATGGCACATAACAACAACAACAACAACAACACTGGGGTGGGATGGTATTTAATTTTGGTTTTGTTGTGCATCTCTCTTATTGTGAGTGATTTTTGAGCATTTCTTCATGTGTCTGTTTGCCATCTGAATATCTTCCTCTGTGAAAAGTCTTTTCATGTCTTTTGCCCATATTGTAATTGTGTTGCTAGTCTTTTTCTTGTAGAATCCCTATAGGATTCTGTAAACTTTTCATATCAGACCCTTCTCTGAAATGCATACCTGTCCTTAAGGTGATCTTGAAATTCAGATGAAATAGATTGAAGATCATATCTTGGTTCTTGTGGATTTATTTTAATTTTCTTCAGACTCAATTTGAACTTGTACATGAGTAATTGATGGTCTGACTCACAGTCTGCCTCTGGCCTATTTCAGCTGCCTGTATTGAGCTTCTCCAACGATTCTTTCCACAAATGTAGTCCATCTGATTCCTTTGCAAGGTCTGATTCAGTTGAGGTCCATGTGTAAAATTGCTGTTTGTATCTTTTTAAAAAGGTATTTTCAATGAATAGATAATTGAAAATACAAATTCAGTCATTCTATCTCCAGCTTCATTTCTACCACCAAGCCCATATTTTCCAACTACTATTCCTTTGTCACTGTTTCCAGATTTTGCATCTAGTCAACAATCATAACACATCTTGATTGCATGTTCAGTCAATTTTGGACTGCAAGATTTGGCAGAAATTTTTAATATTCATAGCTCCAAGACATGGTCTTCTCAATTACTTGCTATGCATCTGAAATCTGGACAATGACTAAGGATGATAGAACAAGGATCTTTGATTTGTGGTGCTAGAGAAGAGTATTGAAAAATACCGTGAACTGCCAAGAGGCCACACAGATTTGTCCTGGAGAGGGTGAAACCAGATTGCTCCTTATAGGCAAGGATTGTGAAGCTCCATCTCACATACTTTGGGGATTTTGCCAAGAGGGACCAATACTTGGAGAAAGACATCTTGTTTGGGAGGGTAGAGGGTCAGCATGGCAAAGGAAGACCCTGGATGAGATGGATTAACAAACTGACTGTGACAGTGGAGGAAAGTGTGTCAGAGACAATGAGATTGGCTCAATATAGTATAGAGTTCAGAGCTATTGTTCATAGGGTCACTGTGAGTTGTAGTCAACTTGACAGCACATAACAACATATTTTAACCGAGGGAGTAAGGCTACCTATAAAAGTAATCTGATCTGGATATGTCTTTGCTTTAAGAAAAAGGAGCCTGGGTGATACAGTAGTTCATTGTTCAGCTGTTAACGGAAAGGTCAGTAGTTTGAACCACTAAAAATCTACAGCTTTGGAGATCATATAAATCAGTTGGTTCTTTCCTCTCCCTGCCCGGGGCCCGGGGGCTGGACGGGCTCGCCGGCGGGAGACGAGCAAAAATCAAATTAAAGTAGATCTTGTAGATGAGAATTTTACAGAATTAAGAGGAGAAATAGCAGGACCTCCAGACACACCATATGAAGGAAGAAGACACCAACTAGAGATAAAAATACCAGAAACATATCCATTTAATTCCCCTAAGGTCCGGTTTATCACTAAAATATGGCATCCTGATATTAGTTCCGCCACAGGGGTTATTTGTTTGGATATTCTGAAAGATCAATGGGCAGCAGCAATGACTCTTCGTACGGTATTACTGTCATTGCAAGCACTATTGGCAGCTGCAGAACCAGATGATCCACAAGATGCAGTAGCAGCAAATCAGTACAAACAGAATCCTGAGATGTTCAAACAGACGGCTCGACTTTGGGCACATGTGTCTGCTGGAGCACCAGTTTCTAGTCCAGAATACACCAAAAAAATAGAAAATCGATATGCTATGGGCGTTGATAGGAATGCAGTAATAGTGGCCTTGTCTTCAAAATCATGGGATGTAGAGACTGCAACAGAATTGCTTCTGAGTAACTGAGGCGTAGAATGAGAGCTGCTGAAATAGTCAAGCTTGCCCCTTCTTGAGGAGCATCAACATCTGTTATTTTTAGAATTCTGCATAGATTTCTTTTAAACTGGCATTCTTGCCTAATGATGTTATCTAGGCACCATTGGAGACTGAAAAAAAAAAAAAAACCACAACAAAAACCAACAGAACAAGCCTGCTCTGTAAATAAAGCTAATTAAACGTCTGTGTAAATTAAAAAAATAAAATCAGTTGGTTCTGTTCTATAAGCTGGCTAGGGATTGAAATCTATACCACAACAATGAGTTGCTTTAAAAAGTTCAGTTCAAGCAATCCCTGACTTAGGCTTTGTTTGAGTTGAGATGAATACTTGGGACTATTTGTATCATTAGTAATGCCCACTACATTTAGTGCTGTAGCTTGTAATTGCTGATGTTATTCTCAGATGTCCCTTGCAGATATTAAATTTTCTGATTTACTGTAGAAACCACTGATTAATTATAAAGATACAGATAATCAAAGGCAATAATAATGAAAACAAAACAAAAAAACACACACCAGAAAACCAAACCCAAAACAAAACACAAAAAGCAATCAACAAACCCAAACCAGTATTTGACATACATCAGAACAAATTTATGATGGAGTCATCAGAATGGAACTCTGTTACCATAAACTGTAGTCCACATATATTGTCCATTTTCAGTTTATGAACTATAGTTTTTACTGAGCTTCAGGTGCTGAGAGATACAGCAGCATAGGACCGGTGTTGCCTGAGAGTTCACCATGAAGAGAAGGCTTTCTGTGTGAGAGATAAGGGTTCCAGGGAGAAATGTATTGGAAGAAACCATCTGTCAGGCCTTGGCCTGGCCTCTGAGGATACAAAGATAGTGAGGCAGACATGAAGCGAGAAAGACAGATGATACAAAATAAGTCATGTGCTACAGGGAAGCTTAGGATGATGCTGTGAGAGGAGATTTAGGAGCAAGAGCACAAAACCTTGCTTGAGGAGAAGGCAGGGTAAGATACCCTAGAATATGATTCTCATATGAATTGAAATTATAAAAGTGGACAGGTTCTATGCTGGTAATAAACAAGGGGGCAGAGTTGGTGCAGAGGTGAAGAATGCTGAGATCATTCAGGGAAGCTAAACGGCTCACTATAGCTAGAGGGGATTACGCATTTTAGGGCAGTGCTGAGAGAACCAAAGTACAATACTGTTAAAGTCCGAAGGTCATGGAGAGCTTTGGAAACTTTTAAAGAGGAGAATGGCATGGGCCAACTTATGTTTTAGAAAGCACAACCAGAGGAGTGCATTGGGTATAAATGCTAGAGAGGGAGAAAACAGTACAGCTAAGAGACTGCTGAAGATTCGAAGCAAAAGATGAATTAAGCAATGACAATAGGGCAGAAGAAGGTGGGTGTTAACTATCCGTTTGGTGGTGCAGTGCATAGTGCATGACCTATTATTCTGCTAACCGAAAGGTCTGCAAGTCAAAACCACCAATTCAAACCACCTCTGTGGGAGAGAGATGAACAGTCTTCCTCTGTAAATGATTTACCGCCTTGGAAACCTGACGGAGGTTTGCTGTGAGTCAGGAATAACTTGATGACAGTAAGTTTATTTTAGCTGTTGTGGTTGTTATTGGTGGTATATGTTTTATGTTGTTAAGTGTTTTTGCAAAGAATTGTAAGTGATATTTTGATTGAGTAGTACTTCCAGTAAAGCTCATTGTTTTAAAATTGGGCTAAATAAGACTGCATGAATAAGCCTGAGAATCAGTGTGTCATTGTTGATTAACTCTAATGATATGTAATCCTCCAGGCCTTGTGACTCCAGTGTGACAGACAGAAGAACCCAGGTGTCAGCGGCCATGGCAGTTCTTTTTTTATCTTCTTCATTCATTGTCCAGTTTTCATAAGACCATGAGATGATTAAAAGTACCACCACTTTGGCCAGATGCACCTTTCTCCTCAAAGTTATATCTCTGCTCTTCTGTACTTTAAGGATGGCCTTTGCAGCAGATTTGGCCAATGCAATACATTATTTGACTCCTCTACCATGGGTGTTGATAGGAGATCCAAATAAAATGAAATCCTTGAATGGAACCAGAGTTAGAATCTTCCCCAATGAACAGTAGAGACATTTAGGGATTGACCTTGTTGAGGAACCCAGGTAGGCAATCATTCTTAAAAGAGCCTGTCAATGACTAGTGGAACCCAAAACAATGGGCTGAAATCACAAACAGAGGACTCTAGCCTTTATACATTAGCTTTGGGGTGAAGATGGTGGCAGGACAGAGAAGGAACTGGAGAGGAGAAACAGTAGAGATAGAAGACAAAGGTCTCAGCTTTGTGCATTGTGTCACTTAGGCCCGCGGAACAAATATAGGTTCCAGAATTTGTGGGTAAGCAACAAATGATTCTCAAGCAAAAAGGAGCTCTTAGGTAGTGCCAGTGATTAACTACTTGGTTGCTAACTGGTACCTTGCAAGAAAGGCGTGGTTATCAACATGCAAAAAACGTCACCTGTTGAAGACTCAGTAGAGCACAGTCTGATAAGCACCTGGATCTGAATGGACTTAACAGCAACTGGTTTTCTCAGTAAAAGATTGAAATTCTACTTATCTAATTAGAACCAACCCCATTAGCACAACAGTGAAGCATTCAACTGCTATCTGAAAGATTTTCAGTTCAAACCCACCTGACCACTGCTGGGGAGAAAGACCTGGCATTCTCTCCCCAAATATCACAGACTAGAAAACTATGGGGAAATTCTGCTCTGTCATAAGGGGCTTCTATGGGTTGAAATTTATTCAGTGGCACTCAACAATAACAACAAATATATGAAAAGTTAGGTGCTGTTAGGTACTATCGAGTCGAGTACAACTCATAGTGACCCTATGAACAGATCTGAACCCTGCTCTATCCTGTGCCATCCTCACAATCTCTGACTCTCTTGAGTCCATTGCTGTAATCAGTGTGTCAATCACTTGTTGAGTGTCTCCCTTTCCTTCACTATCCCTCCACCTTTTCCTCTGTAGGGAATAGCTTCTCCTATCAGTATGCTTAAAGTGTGTAAGATGAAGCTTTATCATCTATGTAAGAAGCACTCTGGCTTCACCTTCAGCAAAATACATCAGTTTGTTCTTTTGCCAGCCTACTCTTCTCCAGCACCATAGACCAAAGGCATAAATTCTTCTTGTGTCATCCTTATTCATTGCCAGCTCTCAGTTGCATAGCAGGTAACTGCAAAGACCATGGTCTGAATCAGTTGCGACTTAGATAAGTTAGATAGGGTCAGTTTTAGAGCATTGAGGACCTGATGGTTAGACTTAGAGTAATGGCTTCTGCCACAGGTCAGAATGAGTCCCAGAGCCTACAACAGGAATCACAGGTAGAGGTCATGTGCTTCAGCTGCTACAGAAAGGAGTCAGAGTTGGGAACTGTAAAAAGAGCAAGGGCTTTGTGAGGATGGCCATGTCTGATCTTTACCAACTTCACAAAGGGGAACTGTCCCTGTCAATACATCAACAACACAAAACCATTCCCATGAGGTCAAACATGCTCTCCACACTCGCGCATCTCTTTCCACTCATCCCAACACCAATCTTACTACTTTACTGGGTCCAAATCCTGACGCAGAAGCTCATAGACCACACCGAACCATATTGAGGAAGTCAGGTTAGTAGCAGAATATAGTTATCAGAGTTTCTGAAATGTGCTCACAGGCACCTCAGCCTTCAGCCTTGCAGCTTTAGGCCAGTGTTACAAAGCTCTCAGGCCTGCCAGTTATGGTTCTCCTCCTCCTCCCCCAGTCCTCCAACAAACCTGGGCAAAAGGCTCTTAGCTCTTATTCAGTGGAGAGTAGCATTCCCAAGGTCAGTTCTAGCTCATGTCAAGTCTCTGGTCTTTGTTTTGGCCACAGCTGCTGCTGCTGTAGATCTAGCTGGTGCAAAAATCTCTGGCCCTGAAGGGCACTCATTGCATGCCTGCTTCTTTGCTGCTGGTGAGACTCTCAAATCTGCTGCTGAGTCTGCTTAATTTAGTGGTAAGTCTAGCCAATCCCCTTGTGGATAGGCTAACAAATCCATTCACATATTCCCACCGAACCATGTGGCAAAGTCAAATTCAATGACTAGGAAAGCCATTTTGATCGAGCCAACTGGACCTGGCAGTAATCTCTTGTTTCACATTTTTGCTATAGGGACAAGTACTGTGGCTCTATATCTGAGCCACCACCAGAGATAGGGATACCAACAGCTCTCATGGGAGGTGGGTCCAAGGAAGAGCTAGAAACTTTTCATGGAAACACTGGGTTGAAGCATAGCTTAGATATGGTGGAAGAACAGAGGTTTTGGTGTTAAGTGGATTGAAGGAGTTCTACACTGGTGCCTCCTGGAGATAGGCTTTTATGCAGTGTTAAAGTGGGCTGCGCACAGCCTGGAGGCAAGAGGTGTCTGGGGAGAAGCAATCATTGGCTTGCAGGCTGCTGCTTAAGCTGGCTGTAGAGAATTGCCTGGAAACGCAAAGGGACACTTGGAAACAGACTTATTAGCAGCTGGGGGACTCATTATGCACATTGCGAAAGGAGCCTTTGCAGATTTGAAGTGAATATCCTCAAATTGCTGGACTTTGATGTCAACACAGCTTTTCTGGGGCATTCATACTGAGTGTCTGCACTTGCAGCAGTTCTGTCTGCATCATGCCAAGGGCTTTCTAAAACTCCCCTGCCAAAAAGACATCAAAATACAGAAACTACTATGCTACCATCTGGCTGGCAGGTGCCACCTACTTAGTATAAGGTGCTGTTGTTGTTATTGTGTACTGCCAAGTCAGAACCGACCCAGAGCTGACCCTCCAGAGGGTTTCAGTTAATTGCCTGGGAAGAGATTGCCCATCCTTCTTCCAAGGAGCAGCTGGTGGATTCAAACTGTGTGCCTTTGGGATTGCAGCACAGCTATAACTAGAATGTTAATTAAATACTAGTCAAAAGGTAAAAAGATCTGAAGAAAGGTTAAATTTTGTTTTATTCACCTTGTGTTTAGCTCCAGTGCTAACAACCCAAAGCTTCCATTTTTGAAGGGGGATAAAAGGAAAGAGCTGTGCTTTCTTGGCCTCATACTTATTTATGTCCTCAGCAAGTTTTCTTTCATACTGGAAAGTCTATGTTAGAACATAGTTTATTTGTGCTTTCTAAGCTCTTTTTTTTTCTTGCTTAATTCTCCCCATACCCTAAACAAGAAGTAAGAATGTGGACATTGACATCTTGAGTCTGTGATCTTTAGATTTATTGCTTTTTTTAGTATGCTGAAGGAAGCAAGAAGTTGGTTATTAAAATCTTCATCCTCAGATGTGAGCCCTTTTTTCCCTGAACATGGAAGTGGAGAGAAACCTCATTCATTCTGACGGTGCTCGTTTGGAAGGTGTGATACTTGGATGTGTCAAGCTGACATTGGACTATGCACTTTTCATTAAAAATAAGTTTGCTAAGCAAGTTTCTAGTGGTAGTAATGGAACTCTTAGCCTCCTTCAGGGTGGGGCCTTCTTCCTTTGTGGAAGTTATATATTCACTGGAAATAATAAGCATGCCAAGATGAAAAGGAATTTTTATAAATTTATTTAAAATTTGCTACGCTATATACTGTTTCTTCACTTTAGTTAGAGTTAGTAAAGATGTTAAAAGAAAAAAAGCCACTACTCCTTTAAGATGTTTATGAGTGGGAAACTCAGTCCCTTGTGGGGCAAATTTATGAGGTCTGATCAATGTCAGTGTCAGTACTTAGAACTGAAGAACTACCACTTGCATGTCTCCCTTTAAACTATAAATTATACTCTGATGTCCTTTCTACTTTCTGTCTTCAAGGAGACAGATTTTATGCTGAAAGGTGTATATTTTTCTGTTTTGTACTTTTCATACTCAAGAAAGAGGAGGAAAAAAAGCAAATTAATTAATTTTCTTGTAATGTAACCAGAGTCCTCTAGGTAATTTTCTCCAGGGTGCAAGATGGAAATAAGCCCAGAAGTATAGATGACAGCCAAAACTTAAAAAGGATTTTAAGTGCAAGACATAAATACTTGTCTTTATTCATTGTGTAGGGGGCTGACAAGGAACGAAATAATAAACTAGGTGAAAATGCACTGATGCTTCTTCAAATTTCATAAAAGAGGAGGAAAAAAATTCTACCTGTTACCTCAAGTATTTCATTAATATAGTTTGTCTTTGCAAGCCATGAGTCACGGCAGTGGTGAATAACATATACTGGGGTTTGGTGGGGTGGGGGTGTGTGTGTGTGTGTGTGTGTGTGTGTGTGTGTGTGTGTGTATTTAATCCTATCTGAAAAAGAGTGACTAAGCAAGGTGGGTGATTTAAAAAGTCCTACATAATGGCTGTTTTAAACTAGTGGCTCACTGCTGTTAAAACCTCACAGTTTCTCTTCTCCCCAGGCATGACGGAGATGGTGCGTAAAGTTACTCTGAGCAGAGCAGTAAGAATCATGCAGGATCTCTTTCCTGAGGAGTACAACTTCTACCCTCGCTCGTGGATTCTGCCTGATGAGTTCCAGCTCTTTGTTGCTCAGGTAGATGACCTTTGGTTGCAACTGTGTCCTTTGTGTGATGTGGTGAGGTTGGTGACGGTGGCAGCTGGAGAGAGAATTCTCCAAGAAACTGAGACTAGCTAAAGAGCATCTTGCCCATTTATGCAATAGGCTATCATCTGGGCAGCCTGCAGAGTTGAACACTTGGAATGGCGTATGGCTAAACTGGAGAAGTGGGTCTTGGCTCCACAAGACAGGCTGGAGGCCGATCTCAGAGCTGAAGAATGGAGTCAGGGCTTTCCTGACATGGAGCAGGCACTGGCAGGCAGCTGGACTCGGCTGTGTGGACGAATCTTGGAGATGTGGTCTCCTAGTTTCTCACAGTCTTAAACTGAGGAGGAAAACCTTTTAAGTGTCTTGCTTTCAGTTCATTTCAGAATCCATTTTCAAATAGCCATTCCACATCAAAGCAATATACTTGAGCATGAAATATGTTGAGGCCTTTGCCACTAATTGTGAAATAGAACCAGCAGGGAGCCTGAACTCAGAATTCCTTTACCATTTCAGTTCATTTCTTAAAGATGTCATTGAAGACTGCTTCAAAGGTCTTCAATGCTCATAGGCTCCAGGGTCTTTACCATAACTCTGAGGAAAACGATACCAAAACTGTCTGTCTCATCGTGATAAGGCTAATACCATTTATTGGTTGAAATGTGTTTGAGGTGCTTAACATGATTTCTTTTAATCCTCACCACAATATCAAGAAGTTGGCTTTATTATCTTTTATGGATGAGGAAACGAAAGCTTTGGGAAATTAAGTACCTTGCTCAAGAAACCTTGGCTTGTGCTCAGTTAGTCCTCTATGTTGCCTGCATAGTGTTTTGGTTTGAATGTTGAATTCTAAGACTTGTGCTTTAAAATTATGATTATTAAACACAAAAAACTTTGAGGGGTGATTTTGAAAAAGGACACATTGTATGGGTAGTTATGTGGGACTGAGTATATTTATTAACACTCGCTGAACTAATAAAGGAAATGTATTTTATTATGTATAAATTATATTTCAATAAAATAATGTTTAAAAGTACAAAATAGGACAGGGTTTAGATCTGCTGTTCATACGATCACTATTCACAGTTGACTTGATGGCACCTAAAACAACAACGACGAACAACATCAGCTGTTTCCTACTACTAATATTCCTATTACCCTGTGACTTCCTATTATGGGGAACATCTTTTGATCTCCCAAAAACCTCGACTTCATTGCTGTTTGAGTTGGAATTGAGTCAAAGCTGAACCTCTGTTTCTGAGGTTGTAAATCCACAGGGGGAATTTGCCCATCTTTTTCTTGTCAAGCCACAGAGGTGGATTTGAACCACCAACGAGGATTAGCAGCTTTGCCCCCTCTGGACTTGTGGAACCACCAGAACTCAGAGGTCCCTCTGATTGCTACAACCCTGCATCTTATTCTACAAAGCTGAATTTAAATGAGATTGCACCCATGTTTAAAAAAACCTCTTGAGAAGAGCATTTCCAGTACCCTCAGAAATTCCTTTGTACCTCATTGCAGTAAACTCCCTCAACTTTCCCTCTTATTTGCATCCTGTCAATATAGATTAGTTTTGCTTGTTCAGGTAAAATCCATGTAACTGGACTAAGGTGGTATGTAGTGGACTAATATGCAAAGAGTTGAACTGCCATCTAAAAGGCAGATGGTGCAAACCTTCCAGCTGTTCCTTAAAAGAAAGATGAACAGTCTCTTCCCTTGCAATTTATAAAATTTATTTATTTATTGATTGCAATTTAAAAAATCAGTTGGAGGGTCAGCTATGAGGTGATTTTGGCTTGACAGTACATAACAACTACATAGTATACACTCTTTATGTACAGGAGCCCTGGTGTTGCAGTAGTTTAAACACCCAGCTACTGACGGAAAGTTGGGCAGTTTTACCCCTGACAGGTGCTTCATAAGGGAGAGATGTGGTAGTCTGCTTCAGCAAAGATCACAGTCTTGGATATCCTGTAATCCTGTTCTACTCTGTCCCATAGGATTGCTGGGAGTCAGAATTGATCCAACAGCAATGGGTTTAGTGTATTTTTTGTTTTTGTTTTCTCCCCTTCTCAGAAGAATGCTTTTGAGACTCATCTGTGTTTGTCATATGCAGCACTAATTTGTATGTTTGTTATTCCGCAATGTTCCTTTGTATAAATGGACCACCATTTGTGTATCCATCCACCAACTGATGGGCATTGGAGACATTTCCGCTTTTTGGATATTATGAATTAAGTTGCCGTGATCATTGCTGTTAGGTTCCACTGAGTTGATTCTAACTCCTAGTGACCCCCTATGACAGAGTGGAATTGCCCCATTGAGTTTTATTGGTTTTAATCTTTATGGAAGTGAATTGCCAGTTGTGTCTTTCATGGAATCCCTTGATGAACCCTTGATGAACTACAAATCTTTCAGTTAGCAGTTGAACTCTTAACCCTTTTCTTCTTTTTTTTTCTTTTAAAGGCAAGGTTTCTTCTATTCTGACTACTTATTTAAGATTCATTTATATAAACATACGTTTTAATTTCTTTTGGAAGTCCTGGCCCGCATGGCATGTGCACATTTAACTTTTTAATAAATTATCAAGTTACTTTGTAAAGTTGCTGTTCTTAGGTGCTGTTGAGTATGACTCATAGTGACCCTGTGAATCACAGATCGTAACCCTGACCTGTCTTCTGCCAGCCTCACGATCTCTGACACACTTGAGCCCATTGCTGCAATTACTGGGTCAATCCACTTGGTTGAAGAGCTTACCTTTCACCATCCCTCCTTATTCTCAAGCATGATGTCCCTCTCCAATTAGTAGCCTCTCCTAGAAACATGCCCAAAGCATATGAGATGAAGCTTTATCACCTTTTCTTCCAAGAAGCACTCTGGCTGCACCATCTCCAAGACCTTTGTCTGTTTGTTCTTTTGGCAGTCCATGGGATATTCAGTACCTTTCTTCAACATCACAGTTCAAAGGCATCAATTCTTCTGTGTCATCCTTGTTCATTGTCCAGATCTTAGGAGCATAGAAAGTGATTGAAAAGACCATGGCCTGAATAAGACATACCTTCGTCCTCAAACTAAAATGACTTCTCAATAATTTGAAGAAGTCTCTGACTGCAGATTTTCCTAGTGCAATGCATCTCCTGATCTCCTGACTGCTGCTCCCAAGCGTATTGACTGTGGATCCAAGTAAGATGAAGTCATTAACAGTTTCAATATTTTCTCCCTCTATCATGTTGTTGTTTATTGGTCCAATGGTGAGAATTTTTGTTTTGAGATCCATATTCTTTGATATTTTGCAGCAAGTATTTCAAGCCCTCTTCACTTTCAATGTGTAAGGTTGTGCCATCTGTATAACAAAGATGAATTTTCCTTTAGTCCTGATGTTGCATTCTTCTTCATAGAGTCCATTTTATATTCCCACTGGCAAAATGTGAGAAAATTGCTCCATATACAGTAAAATCTGCACAAGTTGAAACCTATGTATGATGAAACTTGTCAGAGAAGAAAAATGTAAATATGTTCTACTAAAACAAGAAATAGAATAGTATTAAGAATGTACTCTGTCAAAGAAAAAATTTGCTTGATCTGGAAAAAGAAGAAAGTTGAATTCCAGGTCTCACAGATTTCATTGTAGTTTCTCATACTTTGTATTTTTAGCCTTAAATCACATATTTACCAATTTTGGTAGATGTGTGATTATATCTATAGCTTTAACTTACATTTTCCTGATGACTAAAGATAGCTTTTCATGGAATTGTTATTGTTATGTATTGTCATGTCAGAACCAACTTATAACTAACTCTCCAGTGGGTTTTCAGGAGGAGATTGCCCTTCTTTTTCCCATGAAGCAGCTGGTGGATTCAAATCTTGTACCATTGTTGTATCAGCACAACCTGTTACCACTAGGCCTCCAGGACTCCCTGAACATATAAACAGTAAATTGTCAGTAATTTTCTTTTTAAGCTATATGCTCTTTAGTGCAGATGCACGTTTTTGTTATAAATCTATTGCTACTATTTTTCTCATTTTACTTTAAAATCTTAATCTTGACTTCATTTTATTCTTTTTTGAAGAACAAAAAGCTTTAATTTTTATTTTTATCATTCTTTAATTTTTTTACAATGTCAAAGAAATCTTTGCCTAACCAAAGATTATAAAGATTTTTGTACTTTCTATTCTCCTAGATATTTTATAGTTCTAGTTTTACATTTAAGTATATGATTTGAAAGTTTTATGTATGTATGCAATTATGGTTGAAGTTCTTCCTCCCACCCCCATGTGGATATCTAATAGTCTTATTGTTCTGTGTTGTTTTTGTTGACATAATTGTAATTTCTTCTTTGAATAAACTTAGCATTTTTGTTGAAAATAAATTGACCATTATGTTTTCATCTATTTTGTCCTTCTCAAGAGTACCACCTATTCTTATTAGATTAGCTTACATTATCTTGGTAACTATAGTTTTATAGTCTTGACATTTAATAGTGTAAATCCTCCTACTTTGCTTATTTTCAAAATTGTTTTTGACTGTTACATGTTCTTTATACTTCCATATGAATTGTATAAACCACTTGTCAGTTTCTACAAATAAACTTAAAAAATTGCTTATTATTGCACTGAATCTATGAATCAGTTTAGAAACTAGATATTTAAGAGTACTTCTTGTTGACAGAATATAGTTATGTTATTTTATACAGATTGACAATCTCTGCCTTTTAATTTATGCAGTACCTTTAACATAGGGAGCTCTGATGGCCTAGCAGTAAGGAGTTGCCCTCCCAATCCAAAGGCATATTGCGTGCATGGGAAAAAGGTGGGTAATCAATCACCTCCTTTATGCTTACAGCCCCTGAAAATCTGCTGGAGGATCAGTTGTGAATTAGGTTTGACTTATGACACCTAACAACAACAAGAAGAACATTTAATATAATAATAAATATTGCTGTGTTCATGTGATGTTTGGACTTTTGAAAATGACTTTCCTATTCATTGCC